TATTTGAATCTGGTGACTTTATTTCTACTTGTTATGACAGTACAATTTAAATCACTGACCAGCTATATTTTGAATTCCATAAAATGTAGTTTTGATAGAAATAATTCAAGATTTACTTATTCAAATGCTTTAGAAAGATCACAAGATATTCCACCAACATGAATTTTATTATTAAGAGCACTTAAGATTTCATCTGTAAAACTTAAAAAGGATTTTATCACTGAGTAAAGTTGTAAATATTTCATCATAACCACATGGATATTTTGATTTCAGAAAAATTTCCATATGTTTACTTTTGTGGACATATAATTTATGTTTGTTTCTATAACTTTTAGCTACTGAAATAATATGTTAAAAGTTTTGGATTCTTTATTGCATTATTTATCATTATTAATGGGGCAACATCTTCAACAGAATATTTGTTTCCTTTTTCACTATTTTCCACACTGCTGTCATTGTATTTCACCCTAGTATCTGTTTATTGGAACGCATATGTTAAGCCTCTTTGAAGACTTGAGTTAGTATCTTGCAATGTTTCCTGTAGTGAATTTTCATTACTTGTAACTAGACTGACTATTTAGGTAAAGACGTCGATTATGTCTGCAAGGTGTTTTTTAAAACTTCAGTAAACCACTCATTATTTTCAGATATCCTTGTCACTGTTTTGGTGGAGAAACTGCTTAAAAAATGTTACTTATGTGTTGAACTTTGAATCTACATCATGGCTGTTTAATACAAAGTCCCTGTTTTAATTAATTATATGTGTTATAAGTTCTTTCATAGTACCTTCACTTATAAGTCTGACTTGTTTCCTGTAATTATAACCGGAGATTGATTCTATATTTTTGTAATATAGAAGCTGTGCTCACTTAACACTGGTTCAACACAAATATCTTCTTTCCTGGAGCTGCCTACAAAAACATTATCAACATAAAGCGCTCCTAACAGCGAGAACCACTAATTATAACTATGTCTTTAAAACAAGCATACATCTTTATTGTCTAATACCTTACTCCTCTACTAGCTGCGGATGTTTGGCATAAATGCAACCTCAATTCTTTGAGATCCTTAGATAACTGCAACGCTAACCTCGAAGCCATATTTTCACTTCAGACCAGAGATTACATTCAGCCACGCAATAAGAATATGGCGTTAAAATTATTAGTTACTCCTCTCTTTGATTACCAAGTCACAGATAATATATGAATATTCACAATTACAGAAACATAGTGGTAAAAACTAAAATTCTCGTAAGACGGCTAAATGCCAACGGAATAATTACAAACACACATCAGAAGTATTAAAACTTGGATTAATCATTCTACGTAGATTTTCGCAGCTAGACTTCAATGTGTAACTCGTCCGAGTCCTACCGAATGACTAAATAGATCACGCAAACCTCCAAAAAGAGAGGAAAAAGCAGATCCTGCCTAAGCGGGACAAATGCTAAAGAAAAAGAAGAAGTTCAATGTGTAACTTGATTTCGAGTGAAAGCCGAAATTATACATTGAATTAATCATTCTATAATTTGATGCAATTGGCTTACAATCTGTGGTATTAGAAGCCTCTTTATTAAATACGCTGATAATTTTTAAAATGCTCTTAATATTATTTGGGTAAACATCGGCAAGACAGCGACGAATCCCTTGACAGTGACATAATGTCCCCCCCCTCCAATACTGTATAAGTAGGAACAAAAATTCTGCATTTTTTCAGATTTTATTTGCATGATACATAATATGCATTATCAGTGTTCTACACTATACCAGGGATCGTCAAAACCCAGCCCATGGTCCCCATGGCACCTCTTCATGTACGTCACTTCAATGTATCAGTAACTAACTACTGCCATTTCCTAAATTCAGTATCAATATATTTAATTTTGTGGTTTCTGTCAATTTGATCCTTTTCAGCTCCTACCTGTCCATCATTTGGCAGGACCATGGTTTAAACAAGTCCAAATAGACGATGAAGACCCAATTCTTTAGTAATTATTTGCTTCAGACTTTTCTGAGAGCCATCAGAGTTCTACAATTGCACAAGGAGCCTATTTTGTCACAAAGTGCTACGAATATTCTAAGAATAGTTGGCTGTGACCTTTAGTGTCAACCACTTCTTCCTGTTCGCAAATTGTGAATTTCCTTCCGGTACAAACAAGTTTCCAGGAATGTGTTGATGTTACACACAAATCCCAGCAACACTTTCTGAAATAAGGAATCACATCTCTGAATTTACAGGATCAGTGATTATGACTGTGTTACATAGTGTCTGACATGAACTTGAAGTCACTGGATATAATACAGGTGCATCTGTGGACTATCTGAGATAAATTCTTAATAACTGACATTAATTTTGTTCTCTTTGATTTATTTTTTACACTTATATGCACATTTCAGTGAACACATGCAACTATTCATTCACTTATGTTTTCAGACCATATACTATAAAACTTTAAAGTGTTAATTTGATTAATCCAGACAAAATACAAAAACACAATATGTACAAATCTACGGGCTTTATCCAATCCTTTTATAAGATGTCGCATAATTTTTGTGTCTTTGCCCCTCCTCCAAAAA